CCACCCCTACCGCGCCCAGCTGAGGTCTGTTGCCAGGGGGAGGGCCCAGGCACTCCGGTTCCTCTTTCTCTGGGCCCCCACCCAATGCCCCCAGACAGACATCTTCTGGGGCTCCTTCCAGGGTTGAGATGAGAAATCCCCGGAATGGGGCTCTGGAGTGGGCCAAGTGTGATGGGCAGGAGGGCCCGATTTTCAGACCCTTGGGTCTCTAGGTCTTGCCCTGGGACAGGATGTCTGCTTTCCTTGATGGAGCTTGGAGCTGAATAGGAATCTGGGGGAGAAAGCCAGATTCCTTCGGCACAGATTGGTCTTGGGGCTGGTGTAGTTGACCCCAGGTTAGGGGTCAGGGGCTGGGAGATGAAATGTATGAAACTCTGGAAGGGGGCAGGAGGTGGCATTGCCATCATTTTCTGGCTGAATGACCTTAGGTCAATTATTTCACCTCTCTAATCTTCGGGTTCCTAATCTGTGTAGTGGGTATAATAATACCAACAATATACTAATACTGATAACAATAATTCTGATACTTATTCTGAATAAATAAGGTAGTACCAGTGCACTAACACACCCATTCATTCCTTCCTTCATCAAACATTTATTGAATAGTTACTATGAACCAGGAGTTAATAATGAAGAAAACAGACATAAATCCTGCTGTTATTATGGAGCTTATCTGGTAGTAGAGAGAGACAGATAATAAAGAGAAAACATATCAGTGATGAAGACAAATTTGAGATAATGGTAAGTGTTTTGAAGGAAATAAAATCGAGCAATGGAGATAATGGATGGGGGGAGACTACCTGAAACAAGGTAATCCAGGAAGCCTTCTTGGAGGAGGTGACATTTGAGCTGTGACCTGAAGACTGGAGTCATCTGAATGCTAGGGAGAAGAGGAAGTGCAAAGACTCTTGAGAACAAACTCAGGTTGTTTGGGGAGCAGACAGAAGGGCCAGTGTGGCTGGAGCAGAGGGAGCCAGAGGGAGTGGTGGGAAGGAAAATCAAAGGGTGCCCTTGAAGGCTGGGGGAGGATTTGGATTTTTTTCGAAGTGCAGTGGGAAGCCATTGAAGGTTTTAACAGAAGCAGGGACTTAATATTAACTATTATTATTTATTCTTGGGATATTGAATTAGGGTGGGGGGTGATAACTACTATGCACCCCAGGCCTCTTGGGAGGGGACCAGATGTCCAGGGTCCTGATGAATTGTAAGCTGGGGAACTCAAACCCTGGGTCCCTGCAAGGGAAGGAAACTGGATGATGGGATGTCTGGGTATCTGATGGGGCTAGAGCTGGGTGTGGATTAGCTGTTGGTGCTCTGGGCTCCCTGAGGGGGGTGAAGGATGGACAAATCAGTGGATGGGTGTGTACCGGGGGAACCCAGAATCTGGGGTATCAGTACAGACTCTAGAGCCAGACTGGCTGAATTCAAATCCAAGCTGCTTTACTCATTGGCTGAGTGATTTGGGCCAAGTAACTAATGTCTCTATGTCTCAGTTTCTTCATCTGTAAAATAGAGCTACTAGTAAATACATCATAGGGTAGTTCTTAGAGTAGTGCTTGGCACACAGTCAGTACTGTATATGGTAGTTATTTAAAAAAATTTCTTTCCTTTTTAACTCTAATCCCTTGACAGATTATGTATGTGTTAGTTATATCAGGCATTGGGGCCCTGAGTGGAGTCAGTTCTGGGATACCTGGTTCAGGGTCTCTAGGAATTGGGGAAGGGACAAATTCTTGGGTCCACCGGGTCTCAAGGCTAAAGTTGGGAATCCAAAATGAAAGTTTCTGGGGAGGAGAATAAGTAGTCCCAAACTTAAATCTCTGAGAAGGACAGAGACTTGGGGTCTGAACTCGGATCCCCAAGGAAGTTGGAAGTCTGGGTCACTGAGGGAAAAATTAGGAGCCAGAGAGGGTCATGTGCGCCTCTTGGGGTGCCAGTAAACGGGGCCCACTCTGGTCTTGGGAGGAGTCGGGGGAACCAGGGGCTAGGAAGATGGTAAGTTGAAGTGGGGAGGTGAACAGGGGTCTAGGACTCGGAGTCTTGGGTACCCTGGGGATGTTCTGGGGGGGTCCCCACCCTAGGGCCCTGTGGACGAGGGAGAATCACGGAACCCGAGGGCGGTGGCGGGAGCTCCCCCTCCTGGGCCTCTGAGGCTACGAGCTGAGCTGAGCGTCCGTGGGCCGCTTCCTCCCACAGGAAACCGCAGGCGTCGGCACACCCAGCCAGAAGGGAGAGGAGCCCACTGCTCGCCCGCCCACCCCGGGGATGCCCACGTGGGCAGCTGCCCGCTGCGAAGTGGGCGTGCCCTGTAGAGCGAGGGTGTGCCCAGACAAGGGGCGTGGCCGGAAAGCGGGGGTGGCACGGAGTGCCCAAGGCCCCGCCCACTTCCGCTTCTCAGTACGCGGACGCGGTAGACGGCCTAGGGTTTTTGGAGGCTTCTCCAGAGGCCGTTGGCCGCGCATGCGTAGTGAACCGCTGCCGAGGCACTGAGGCGGTGGTGAGCGTTCCTTCCTCTCATAGCTCTCGGCTTCGGCACCGCTTCCCTGCTAACGAATCCCTCAAATACCGTGGTCTTACTCTGTTAAAGACAGGCACCTCTCGGACCCAAAGCCCAGACGTTTCCCTGCAGGCCCTGTCAGCTCCTGCCTCTCCCTCTTGGAAACACACAGCCGGTCGCTCACAGGCCCGCGCCACTCCTGAGCCCCTCAAAGCCCCGTACGGACCATCCCGGCCTCCCCCAGGCCCTCCTAGCCTGCGCGCCTCCGGATTAGCCCGCGCCCCACATGTCTTTGGAGCCAGCGTCCTCCTAGCACGCTCAGGTCGCCCCTCACCGCCCTCCCGCCAGGCCTCTCGTAAATCATTCCGAATACGACCCCCTCAGGCCCTCCATTTACAGGTGCCCGTGCCCGTTCCCTCGCCCCCCCAGCCCCTCCCTCTACAGGTGCCCGTGCCCGTTCCCTCGCCCCCCCAGCCCCTCCCTTTACAGGTGCCCGTGTTCCACCCCTCGCCAGCCCCCCAGAGCTCCTCGACACTCCTCTCCCTCTCCTCAAAGGCCTTCTCAGCCCCTCCCCTCTCAGGCCCCCTTAGCCCCGCCCCTCAGGCCTCCCCTGCCCATCAGTTCTAGGTCCCCAAGAGCCCCTCAGGTCTTCTAACCGCAGCCTCCTCCTCTCCCCCTCTCTCACCCTCTCCCCACGGCCTGGGCCCCTCCCTGGCCGCTGTCCTCAGGGCTCATTGGCTCCTTATCTCCCCAGTAACCGGACCACAACAGTGAGCTAGGAGCACTAAGGACAGGTCAGGCACTGCAGCAGGTAGGGCCTGGACCCTGTCCCCCGTACTCCCCTACCGCCGGCCGGTTCCCCCTCCTCTGTGACCAAACAGGCCTACCTCGGAGATACCGAGACCCCAGGAGATCTGTCTCCACCCGCTACCCCGCCCTGTGCCAGAGTCCGAGCCAAGACTCAAGACCGAGAATGTGAGAGGTGGGAGGTCAGGAGGGGTGTGGGAAGAGGCCTGAGAGACGTCCCCCTCCAATCCTTTGGAGGAATTGAGACTCAAAGGGGGGCCAGCGTGGTTCTAGTGTCACCTTCTTTCAATTCCCAGCCCCTCGCAGTTCATCGCCCAGCCTCCTCCCGGCCCTCGCCTGCCGGCTGTCTCAAGTGTCCTGAGCTGGCCCCTGCAGGAGCCTCGCCCTCTTTGGCCAACATGCCTTTGCGAATCTCGCCAGGCAGCGCCCGCTCCGAGGAGGGAAGCGAGGCCTTTCTGGAAGGACCGGGTAATTCACATATTCTTGCTTTCATTCACCCATTTCCAGTCCTCGGCTTTCCCAAGTTCCAGGTCCTGTGGGGCGGAGCCCTGGGGACACAGAGGCCTTCCAGGAGCGCCCTCTAGTGGGGAACAGGCATGTGCCCAGATCGAGGTGGCGCGGGGCACCACCGTCAGCGGGCCAAGCCTGGGCAGTGGGCTGGGCGGGGAAGACTTCAGGCAGCAGAAGTTTGAATGGGGCCCAGAACTCCTCCCAGGAATTGCTAAGGGGAGAAGGAAGGGAAGGGTGTTTCTGCAGAGAGAACAGTGTGTGGCTGGAAGAGGCTTTCTCAGCCTCTGCACTGTTGACTCTTGGGGTGGGATAATTATTTGTTGTGGGGGCTATTCTGTGCTTTGTGGGATGCCAAGCAGTATCCCTGGCCTCTACTCACTAGATACCAGTAGCACTCCCCTTCCCCACAAGTTGTGACAATCAAAAATGTCTCCAGACCTTGGCTAATGCTCATGGGGGGCAGAATGCCCCCCTGGTTGAGAACCACTGGGCCTTAGGGAGGTGGGAAGCTGGTGGGCAAGACTGGAGAGGTGGGTAGGGTCAGGTTACTTGAGGCCTTGAACGCCAGGCTGAGGAGCTGGGGGACTTTGTCCTGAGGGTTCTGGGGCACCATGGCAGGCCTGTGAGCAGGGGAGGGCCCACTCTGGGTGTAGAAAGACCCTTAGGGACTGTGAGAGGAGGCTGCAAGTTGAGGAGAAGGCTGGGATGATGGTGCAGACAGGAAGGGATGAGGCCTGAGCCCAGGGGACAGGCTGAGAGAGGGAGGAGGCAAGAGGAGGGGATGAGGGTTGCTGATAGTGGGGGGGGAGGGAAAAAGGGGAGGGATGGATCAAGAGCTTTCCCAAGTTCCAGGTTCTGTGCCTCAGTTCTCAGAGGACCAAGAGGCCTTCCAGAAGTGCCTTCTGGTGGGGAAATAGATACATCCTTAAACCCAGAATGGGAGTGGGTTTTAGGGGACAGAACCTGAGGTCAGCTTGGGGTATGAAGGGACGAGGGATACAGGAACTAAGATGCAGTCCTCCAGGCATGCTGGGGGCTGGGTCTGGAGTTCAGTCGCAGTTTGTGAAATGCTAAAGGAATCAGAATTCCTAGGGCTTGCGGGGAGGAAAGGGCTGGCAGCCCAGATCCTCACTGAGTCCTTTGCCTGGCCCTGCTCTCAGTGGATTGGGAGCTGAGCAGACTGCAGCGACAGTGCAAGGCGATGGAGGGAGAAAGGCGGGCCTACAGCAAGGAAGTCCACCAGCGCATCAACAAGCAACTGTGAGCTGAGCGCCTGGGCTCCCCTCCTCCCCACAGCTGGGGAAGAGAGTGTTAAAGGGGCTGAGGGCCGGACTCCTGGGTCTGAAGGGGGAGGGCAGGGGCAGCGTGCCCACCTTTAGTGATGCTGAGCTTTGCCCCCTTGCTGGCCTCTCTTCTACCACCCTGCCTGGGCAGCGAAGAGATCCAGCGCTTGGAAGAGCTTCGGGCCAAGCTCCAGGTGCAGATCGGTGTTGCCCAGAGCCAGGGCAAGCGGCTTCAGGACAGTGAACGGCTGGAGAACATGGACCGCCTGTTGAAATGCCGGGACCAGGCACAGGCTGAAGTCGAGGAGCTGCGGGAGAAGACCAGAGCCCTGGACAGGCAGGTGGGTTCTGAGACCAGGTTCTGTGGGTCCTACTTAAGGGCAGCTGGCAGTCTCTGGTACTCTTGGCTTGTAGACTCATCACCTGATCTCCGTCTTCATCTTCACATGGCGCTCTCCCTGTCTGCGTGTCTGTGTCCAAATTTCCCCTTTTTATAAGGACACCAGTCATAGTGGATTGGGGCCTGTCCTAATGACCTCTTTTTAACTTGATTACCTCTGTAAAGACCCTATCTCCAAATAAAGTCACATTCTGAGGTCCTGGGGGTTAGGACTTCAACATACAGGTTTTTTTTTTTAGGTTTTTTTCAACCCATAACAAACTGGGAAACAGTGTTAAGCAATTCATTTATTCATTTAGTCTGCACATTTTGTTGAGTTCCTACTCTGTGTCCGACACAGATAAAAGAGACAAAATTTCTGCCCTCCTGGAGCATCCAGTTTGGCTGGGAAGACAGAGCATACCCCACATAGGTAGAGATGAGTACAGAAATCGGGAGGGCGGATTGGAAGCTGGTTTCAGGCATAAGCAGACCCAGGGATTTGAATATCATCAGACTCATTCTTACCGTCTCTCAGGCTCTCATCTCCACTTCTGTCCACCAGCCTTGTTCTCCCAGGATCCTTCATGTGGTGGGGACGATGACAGCAGAAGTGCTGGAATCCCGTCCTTCCAAGTCATGTGCTTCCCCCAGAATAGCAGGAAAGGAGCCAGGCTGGCTCTGCTTAGATCACATGTCCATCTCCATCTAGGCCAGCCACTGTGCTTGTCCAGACCTGGGTCATGTGGCTGGCAGGTGGTATGTTGTGGTTGGAATCCCCACCAGAACCACATGGAGGGTTGGGTACTGTCGGCAGAAGGGTGGAAGAGATTCTGAGGCCACAGGGACAGCAGATGTCAGCCACACTCAGTCACTCGTCCTCCCTCGGCCATTCAATCTCTCCCACATCCAGGCAACAGACATCCTCTTTCTTCTAGATCCAGGAGTGGGAGAACCGGATCTTTACCCACAGCAAGGAAGTCAAGGCCCCAGGATTCATCCTGAATCAGAAATCCAAGATCCGGCGAAGGATTAAGATCCTAGAAGACCAGCTGGACAGGGTGAGGGTCAGGCAGGCTCTTGGCTCTCTCCACCCCTGAACTTTGGGGTCAGAGGAAGAACTGAGCATGGGCGTTAGGTTCCAGAAATGGTGGACGGTGTGTGTTTATATGTGTGTGTCATCCTGGAGGGAGGGAGGGTTCCAAGGAAAAGAGATTGCTGGGTCATTTGAAGGGGATGGATGTTGTTCTCAGGACCCCCAAAGAGGAAAGGGACTGGTCCCATCTCTGACAAGCGCCCCTCCTCGGCCGAGTGTGGAGGAGGGAGGCAGGTTAGGCCTCAGACAGACTCTTCCATCCCTCCCCACCCCCAGGTCACCTGTCACTTTGACATCCAGCTGGTACGAAATGCCACCCTGCGGGAGGAGCTGGATCTGCTGCGGATCGAGAGGAACCGCTATCTGAACATGGACCGCAAGTTGAAGAAGGTCAGTGGCCTCAAAACCCAGGGGAGGAGAGAGGGACCTTCACTTAGGTCCTCCCCGCAGCTGTTTGCCCTTCCTGTTCCAGCACTCAGACCTCAAGGAATTGACTGGAGCCATAGGATTGCTTTAGTCCACAGGGCATGGAGACCTGGGAAATGCTGGCGGAACCTCTCACAGAGAAAGCAGCCTCATTTATATTTGCAGAAAGCACAGGTGTCATTTTGAATATTATCACCCAGCACAGCCTTAAGGTAGCAAGACCATTCACATTCCATGGGTATCTTAATAACCTCTGAAGTCCTTTGAAGAACCAGCTCCCGTGCTCTTTGATTATTATTTTGAAATAATGTCAAACTTACAGAAAAGGTGCAAGAATTATACGAAGAACTCCTACACATCCTTCACCAAGATTGATGATTTACCACGTTTACTCTTTCACTCCCTCTTTCTCTCCTTCTCTCTATATGTGTTTGCAATTAATATTTTGCTGGAAATAATTTATTATTATAGATTGCTGAACCCTTTGGCGGTACATTGCAGACATTACGTTCCTAAGTACCTCCGTGTGTGTTTTCTAAGAACACCACCATTTTCTTACACAAGTACAGTGCGGTTATCCAAGTCAGAAACGTTAATATTGTTAGACTTCTGAACAGTCCATATTTCAAGTTCACTGATTGTCCCAATGATGTCCTTTGTAGCTAATCTGATTTTTCTGCTCTGGGCTCCCATCCAGACTCCCACGATGCCTTTAGTTGTCCTAGCTCTGTTCATCTGGAACAGTCCCTCGGCCCCTTTTTGTCTCCCCACGACGTTGACATTTTGGAAGCATCCACGCCAGTTGTGTTGTACGACATCCCCCAGGATGGGTTTATCTGATTTTTCTTCCTGATTAGATTCCATGTCTGCATTTTTCGTGGAAAGCCACAGTGGTGATAGTTTGTCCTTTCTGCGCATTGTGTCAGGAGGCACCTGATGTCAGTTTGTCCCAGAACTAGTGATGTGTGGTTATGTTCTTCATTTGAAATACGGTTACATTCACTTGCTTCCATTTGTATTCAGTTTTAGTTTTATCTCCTGTCTTTGTTGATTTAGTTTCCTTTGTGAACATGTAAAACATTAACAAGGCTCCCAAATCCAAACTGTTCCAAAAGGTATCCTAGAGAAACACCATTTCTTCATCTCTTCTACCTCGTTCCCACCAGGTCCCTATAGGTTGCTTATTGCCTTAGTTTCTGGTTGTCCACTTTGGGTTTCTTTCTTTCTTTCTTTCTTTCTTTTTTTTTTTTTCAGTCAGAAATTGCCAATGCTGACTATATTTCAAGTTGTCATGGTGAGGTATCGGGAAGTTTTCAATTAGCAGTAATCGCGCCTCGGATAAACCTCATTGACTACAAGACTGCCACTGCTCAAAGCTCATTTTGGGTTTCTTTTTGCAAAAGTAAATGTGTGCACACATGCATGTGTGTTTATACATCTATGTATATATGCGTGTGTGCATACATATATGCATATATATATATATAATTTCCCCCCTTTCTCCTCAAAGAACCCTTTTTACATGTAACATTGCAGAGATATTTCCATGGAAATAGAAAACAGAACAATGTAGTCACAGTGATAAAATTCACACAGATTTCTGCACCGAACAAGAAAGTTAGTCTTAGGAATATTTCAGGTTAAGCATTTCCCCCAAATAAGCCTTCTGAGCCATGTTTTCAGCTTATAAATTTGACTTCCCTCTTACTTCATACCTCTTTAAAATCCTAGCCAGGGATGGTGGCTCACGCCTATAATCCCAGCAGTTTGGAAAGCTGAGATAGGAGGATGACTTGAGGCCAGGAGTTTGAGACCAGCCTGGACAACAGAGCAAGACCCTGTCTCTCCAAAAAATTAAAAATTAGCCGGGTGTGGTGGCACACGCCTGTAGTCCCAGCTACTAGAGAGGCTGAGACAGGAGAGTTGCTTGAGCCCAGGAGTTTGAAGTTGCTGTGAGCTATGATTGTGCTACTGCAGTCTTGCTGGGGCAACAGAGCCAGACCCTGTTACAAACAAACAAACATGCAAACAAAAAAACAAAATCCCTTTCATGGACAGCTGCTAATGAGGAGCATCCACATTTCGAAGGCTCAAAGTTTCACTCCTTATTGGGGAAGTGCGGGGCCTCATGGAAAGACTTAGAGTGATGAGACCGTAAGAAGTGGCATTGATTCTGTCCTCTCTCCGGCAGGAGATCCACCACTTGCGGCAGATGGTCAGCGCCCTCATTGTTTCCTCCACCTCTGCCTACACCGTCAGGTAGGGCCTGCCAGGCATCCGGGGTGGCCCAGGTGACTCAGGATGCACCTTTTCATAAGGCAGTGACGGGAAGGTTCAGGACTCAAGAAATAGATGACAGAACCTATTTTTTTCCCTCCATATCGTGCCCCTCTCTTTCTCTCCCCACTGATTTCCCAGCTCAGTGGACCAGGTCTTGTTCCTTGGGCATGCGAGTTAACCTCTGTGGACTCCAGCTGTTAACGGCATCTGGCACACGAGGATGTAGAGAGCATTAAGTAAGATGATGCACATACAGTGCACGGAGCAGGGGGCCTGGAACCTAGGAGGCATCTGGAGAATGAGAATAATGGGATTGTTGCTTGTCAGCCTTGTTTGAAAAGGACAAAGATTCTCTCAGGCCACCTTCAGATAAGCGGCTGAGGAGCTGAAGCTGCTCTAGGTACAGCGTCTCAGCGAGAGCTCCACACTCTCTCTCTCCATCTCTGCTCCAGCCCTGTTCTCTTCTTGCTCCAGATGCCTTCCTACCTTCTGCTCGGTGTCCGGTTTCTACCCACGGCTTCCGTCACGAGGTTCCTGAGTCCTCGTGACATTGGGTATAGTCCAGGTCTATCTTATGGTTTTTGTGATTTCTTTCCCCTCCCTTCCTCCTCCTCTTTCTCCCTCTCTTCCTTTCTTTCTCTCTCTCCTCCCCTTTTTCTTTCTTTGTTAAAATGTGCATAACAGAATCCACCATTTTGAAGTGTACAATTCAGCAGCATTTGGTACATTCACAATGTTGTACAACCATCGCTTCTACTAGATCCGAAATGTTTTCATCCATCCAAAAGGAGACCTGTATTCATTTAGCAGCCACTGTCCCTTCCCCCCTTCCCCAATCCCCTGGCAACCGCTCGTCTCCGTTTTGTCTCTATGGATTTGCCTATTCTGCACATTTCATATAAATGGAATCATACAATCTGTGACCTTTTGGGTCTGGCGTCTTTCACTGAGTGTGATGCTTTCGAGGTCTGTTCACGCTGTGGCATGCATCAGTACTTCATTGCTCTTTGTGGCTGGACTCTGTGATTTCTTACCTTTGGTCTGCCAGGACCCCTTCAGGGTCCCGTTCAAACACAGCTTCAGTGTCTTCATAACTGGCCTTGTCATGACCTTTCCCGGCTTCTTTTTTTATATTCCTGCTGTCTCATTCTTAGCACTTCCCCATTCAAATTCCAGGAGAGGGAATCTGATTGGCTTGGTCAGTCCCACAAGTGACAGCCTGCCGGCCTGTTTGTGCAGTGTCAGGAACTAGCCTCCGCCAACCCTCCTCCAGTGGATGCAGTGGGCAGCCTGGCTGGGCACAAGGACAGGGTGGTTTCAGCTAGAAGGGAGGGGCAGGCATCAGGGCTGAACTTCTGTCAGGCCAGCCCGTGCCTGCAGAGCTTCCTTGCGGGGTGACCTGGAGCCTCAGTTTTGTCTGGCAATAATGACGGTATCTATCTCCCAGAGCCGTGGTGGGGATTCATGGAACACTGTTGTAAAGCACCCCCTATCGGGCCTGGCCCTCAGGAAATTGGGTTCCCTCTTCCCTCCACCTGGGTTGGCATGGAGCCCAAGGCACAGAGAACCGTGAGTCCTGATCCCTGAGGGGTCAGTAGGCGCTGGGGCCAGTGGTTGTCAGGGAAGTCTTCCTACCGCGGAGGACTGGCCCAAGTTAGCTTTGAAGGAATTTGGATAGAGCAGGCAGCCAGTGCTCTGGATAGAGGCAGCCGAGATTGGCAAAGGTGAGGTGGGAACCAGAATGGTCTATGGGCAGGGACCCTGAGGAGACTGGCCTACTATATCTCCCAACCTGATAACCCTGTGACCTGTGACTCTGTGACCTGTGAAGTAGGCTGGGAGTACTCTGAATTTACAGTTGGCCACACTATGTTTAAAAGCTAAAAATCTACATTTTCAATCGAGCGGGACAGGGGATGTTCAATGAGTGAGCCTTCTAGGGTGTCCCAAATATCCTAATAGGGTATGTGCTCAAGTGGTGGTGATGTCACCTACCTACACTTGGGAGGCCCCGGACTGTCCAAGCCTCTTACATTTCCAACCACAGGACCCCCAAACTCCAGCACAATGACGTTGTCACCTTTGTGGGTCTAGTCACAATCTCTTGCTGTGCCACTGTCACCATCTTGCCTCTTGCTCCATAGGTCACATAAGAGTGCCCGGCCTCCTAGATGCCCCTGTGCCTGCACGTCCGCAATGCCTGTCTGTGGGCAAGGCCGTCCTTCCCCTACAAGGCCTAGTGCCTTGGCCCTAAGTCGGCTCCCAAACCCCATCCTGACCCAGCTCTGGGATCCTGGAAAGTTCTCTGCTTTTGGTGACCACAGGGTGACTGTGACCTGATTCTGCCCCATTCCTGTGACCACAGGCTGACCCTGCCCATCTCCCACAACCTCAGGCTGACCCCACCCATCCCTGGTCCCCAGGCTGACCCCAATCCAGCCTCCAATATTCCTGACCCTGGGCTGACCTCCCCCCCAGGGAGGAGGCGAAGGCCAAGATGGGCATGCTTCAGGAGCGGACGGAGAAGGAGGTGGCCCAGAACGAGACAGAGACGCAGATCTTGCAGCGGCAGATAGCGCACCTGGAGCAGCTGCACCGCTTCCTCAAGCTCAAGAACAATGACCGGCAGCCGGATCCTGCTGTCGTGGAGAAGCGAGAAAAATATGGTGAGGCCTGGGCCTCCGCCTCTGCCCCCCATGGCCCAGCGCCCCAGGGTCCCCGGCAGGGGCTGAGCCCAGACAGCCCCTGCACTGGTGGCCACCCAGGAGGCCAACCTCACTGCTCCCTCTTCCCCCAGCCCGGGAGGCAGCCGAAGGCCTCCGGAAGACCTCCCAGGAGAAGCTAGTGCTGCGCTACGAGGACGCCCTGAACAAACTCACCCAGCTGACCGGCGAGAGCAACCCCGACTTGTTGGTGCAGAAATACCTGGAGAGTGAGTGGGGCCCTGGGAGGAGGTGGGGAGGCCGGGATGCAGTCCTAGCACCCCCTGAGTTGAGCGCCCCCATCCTCCGTCACTGTCACGGGGCCTCAGCTCCAGTGTTGGGGATGCCTCAACCTTCACTAGAGGGGGGAGGCCTGGGACATGCGCCTGCTGGGACATGCTTCTCACCATGGCCCTGTCTCTGCCCCTCCCCATCTCTGTGTGCTTGGTGTCTCCCTCCCAATCTCTCTCCCACCCCTGTCTGGGGTCTGTCCCCTTCCTTCTGTGTTTCTGTCCCTCTGGCCCTGCCTCTCTCTGCCTCTGTTCCTTTCGATTTTGCTGTGTGTATCTGTCTCTCTCTCATCTTCCTTCTTTTGCTTCTGGGCCTTGGTCACTCTCCACGTCTTCTCCTCAACCCCGTCCCTCTCTGTTTCTTTCTTTACCTACATCTGCCATTTTCTCTGTGTCTCTGTATCTCTCTGTCTCTCTGTATTTCCCTGTCTCTTTGTGATGCTATCTATCTGTTCATCTCCATGTCTTGGTCTCTGTGTGGTCTTTCTCAACATCTCTTTCTCTGGCCTTCTGTGTGTCTGTTCTTCTCTGTGTCCTGCATGTCTGTCTCTGTCTCTCTGCACCACTCCTTCCTCGATGCTCCCCAGTGGAGGAGCGCAACTTTGCTGAGTTCAACTTCATCAATGAGCAAAACTCAGAGCTGGAGCATCTGCAGGAGGAGATCAAGGAAGTGAGTGAGGCCTGCCCTTCCCCATCTCCCCCTTCTCCGTGCCTCCCTTCCCCTCCCTCCTGCTTCCTCCTCACAGTTCTGCCCCCACTCTCCAGGCTACGGGCCAGGCCCAGCGTTCAGCCCCTGTCCCCGCAGTTGCAGGAGGCCCTGGTGACTTCGCGTGCCAGCGAGGACAACCGGCATTTGCTGCAGCAGCAGCAGCGCGAAGAGTTGCAGCAGCGCGTGGACAAGGTGCGCTCCGAGGCTGAGCAGCTCGAGGCCCGCTTCCAGGATTTGCGGGTGCAGCTGGAGAAGCTTAAGGCTGGTAAGCACCCCCGGGATCCCTCTCCCAGCTGGGGCTTCTTCATTTGGAAGAATGCCATGAGCCCACAGAGGGCCCAGGCCCTGGCTGGCTGCTTGGAGGCACTGCATGGACGACTCTGTGCTCTTGCGTATCGGTCATCCCTTATCCATCCGTCTGTCCATCCATCCAACCGTCTCTCCAGTATTCACCCATTCATCCATCCAATATCCATCCATCCATCCACCCATCTGTCCATAAATGCCTAGGAGTGGGACTGTTGGGGCACTGCGTAGGTATATGTTGATATTTACCAGAAAATGCCACATATTTTTCCAGTCTGGTTGCAAGATTTTACGACCCCTCACCCCGTGAGCACATGAGAGTTCCAGGTGCTCCGCACCCTCACCAACCCTTCGCGTTGTCAGCGATTTAGTTTCAGCCATCACAGTGTGTGTGCGGTGCCATCTCTATCAATTTAATTCTCATTTCCCTGACTGCTAGTGCTATCACGCACCTTGTTGGCCATTTGGATATCTTTGTGAAGTTCCTGTTCAATCTCGTGCACTTTTTTTTTTTTAAATCAGGTTGTTTGTCTTGTTATAAGTGAGTCGTGAGAGTTCTTTGTCTATTCTGGATACTAGTCTTGGCAATTAATTTCTCCCACACTATGGCTTGCCTTCTCACTTTCTTGTAACATGCTTCCTTTTTACTCTTTTTTTGATTAACTGAAATTTATTTTTTAGTGTTGATGATATCTAATTTTTTGAATTTTCTTTTCGTTGTTAAAGACTTTGTGGCCTGCTTAAGAAGTTTTTGCTTACCCCAAGGTTACAAAGGCATTGTCCTATGTTTTCTACTAGATGTTTTATTGTTTTAGCTCCCACATTACAATCTGTGACTTATTTCAAATTAATTTGTATGTATGGTGTGATATAGGGCCTAGAGTTTCTTTTTTTAATCCTTCCTATGGATATCCAGTTGCATCCTTCTGTCCATCCTTCCGTCCTTCTTATGTTCTGGGCAGTAGCCATGCAGAGCACTCAGGAGTCAGTGTCCTGGGTTTGAACCTTGGTGTGTGGCCTCCTCTCTCTAAGCTCCTCTGGAAGTGGGGATGGCAGTGCCTGCTTTGTAGGGTTGTCATGAGAGTTAGACGGGACGACGGATGGAGACAGATAGAAAGGTGGGTCGCGGGGGGAGTGAGCAGGAGAGCTGCCTCGTGGCACATGGTAGGAGCTCGGATGATGATGGATCCTCCCTTCCTCTATCAGGATGGCTGCACCAAGCCCATGCCAGGTGATGAGGGCACAGTGGGGCGGGCCCAAGAGGGGACTGACAGGGAGACTGGGCACTGGTAACTTGGGGGCTAGGATGGAGGACACCCAGGGCACTGCAGGCAAGAGGAGGCCCTAACTCAGTCTGGGGTGCAGGACTATAATTTGCAGGGTCTTGTGCAGAATGTGGGGCCCCTTGTTAAAAATTGCCAACATTTTCAAGATAGCAACAATAACATGCCAAGCCAAGTGTGGGGCCCCTTTGAACACTGGGCCCCATGCCTGCCACTGCATGGGTCCCACACCCATGATGCTGTTTCTGCTGGGACGACTGAGAAGGCTTCCTGGAGGCAGCAATGCTTGAGACTTACTTTGAAGGACAAGTTGGAGAGAGGGATCCTCCTGCCTCAGCCTCCCAAGATGCTGGGACTGCAGACATGAGCCACCGTGCCCAGCTGTACTCACGACCCCTGTATTAGTTTCCTATTGCTACTGTAATAGACTGGCACACACTGAGTGGCTTAAAGCAACATAAACTTATTATCATCATATTCTTCAGGTTGTGAGTCTGAAATGGGTCTCACTAGGCTAAACTCAGGGAGCCAGCAGGGCTGCATTCCTTCCTGGAGGCTCTAGGGAAGAATCCACTCCCTCGCCATCTAGCTTCTAGAGGCCACCTGCATTCCTTGGCTCGTGGCCTCTCCCTCCATCTCTAAAGCCAGAGTGGCGGTTGAATTGCATCGCTCCAGCCTCAGCTTCCACAGTCATATCTCCTCTGATTGACACATCTTCTGCCCCCTGCTTCCACTTGTAAAGGGCCCTGTGATTACCTGGGGCTCACCAGGATGATCTTGTGTTAAGGTCGGCTGATCAGCAAGCTTAACTCCACTCTGCTGGGTAACCTACCATATTCACAGGTTCCGGGGGTTAAGAAGTGAACGTCTTGTTTTTTTGGGGGGAGCATTCTTCTGTTGCCACAACCATCTTCCCGCTCCTAGCCTTCTTGTCCTCCCTGGAGGTGATCCCTTTATTGGTTTACTGGCATAGTCTTTATATAGCCTTACTCTGAAGTTAGAAACATGTATATAGTCATAGACAGTTTATACTTTTTTTGTTTTTTCTTTTTTTATACAAATAGTATGGCTCTCCATTTATTACTGTGCCATTTGATTTTTTTCACTTAGCAATATCTTGGTGCCATGTCAGTAATAAAAAGATATTAATATATAGTAATATGGTAATATAGTAATAGAAATATAGTAAAATATATAGTGCTATCTCACTCTTGGCATTGCTTAATATTAATATGCATATTAGTTTGCCAGGGCTGCTGTATCAAAGTGCCACAAACTGAGGCTTAAATACTAATTCATTGTCTACCGGTCTGGAGGTCAGAAGTTTGAAATGAAGGTGTCAGCAGGGCTGGTTCTCTCTGATGGCTGTGAGGCAGCATCTGTTCCAGGCCTCTGTCCCTGTGCAGATGGCCATCTTCTCCCTGTGTCCCTTCTCTCCATGTGTGTCTGTATTCAAATTTCCCCTTTTTGTTTTATTAGGATGCTAGTCCTAGGGGGTTGGGGTCTACTATACTGCAGTGTGACCTCTTATCTTAACTAAATACATCTGCAATGACCCTCTTTCCAAACCAGGTCAAATTCTGAGATACTGGGGGTTAGGGCCCCAGCACATGACTTTTTGGCAGACACAATTCAACTCACGACAATATGGCTGTTCCAGAGTTATCCATTTCTCCATTGATGGACATTTAGGCTCTTTCCAATTGTTTGCTGTTATCCACAATACTGCTGAGACCCCTTTTACAAAGCTCAACACAGCTAACATACAGACATGGTGTGTATGTTTAAGGAATACATAGACATGCAGTGAAACTATGTAAAAAGGCAAGTGGGGGACTGATGGATCCAGGATTGGGGACGATGGCGTGCTTGTGTCAGAGAGGCACGGGGATGGGGGGGAAGGTCGGATGTAGCGTTTTGTCAAGGTCATGGGTGCCTTCTAACTTCATTAACAATAGCCAGTCAGTTAACTAAGTAGAAGCGGGTCAAGTGCGGGTCAACGAGAGTAGGTCACGACGGTGACCAGTGGGTCAGCCAAGGACAATGATTAATCTTGTCGGGTGCAACTGGGGTCTAACATCAGAAAAAAACAAAGAAAACAGTACCAATCTGCTTCGGATCCCTGCCCCCTGGGGCGCAGGCGTGTGAGCGTTCCTCGGGGGGCATCCTGAGCCGTGGAATCACTGGGTGGGGTGGAAGTTGAATTTGTTTCTAGCTGAGGTATGTGAAGACATCTTTTCCCGGGGTGGTGCCTTTGTCACCCCTCACTCCCCGATGTTTGCTTTCCCTGTTCCCGAGCCCCGGGGCTGGGCGCACAGCGGTGCTCTGCCACTGCCTGGCTGGCTGAGCTCACCAAGTCCCGTTTGGTCTTGGAGCCTTGACTGCTGTCTCCACAGAATGGGGACGTGCGGACCTGGGCACCTCCCTGTGGGAGGTGCCAGATCCCTGACACCCAGTCCCTCCCTGACCCAGATATCCAGCTCCTCTTCACCAAGGCCCACTGTGACAGCAGCACCATCGACGACCTCCTCGGGGTCAAGAACCAGATGCGAGACCGGGACATAGGCCTGTTCCTGGGCATAGTTGAGAAGCGGCTGGTGGAGCTCCTGACGGTGCAGGCCTTCCTCAACACCCAGGTGGGCAGGGCTAGGAGCCCGCGCCTGGGGGCTGGCGCCTGGGGGCTGGGCCTGCGCTGACCGCTGGGCTCCAACACTCCCCAGAACTACACCTCCTTTGCCGACGCTGCCCTCCTGGTGCTGGGCCAGAGCCTTGAGGACCTTCCAAAGAAGATAACCCCACTTCAGCTCCCTGACAACCTGTGAGGCATGGGGCAAGGGGGAGGAAGAAGAGGCAGGTGGTTCCTTGGGGGCAGAGGGAATGCAATGGGATGGAGGGTCTTGGGAGGTTTTGGGGGGCTAGATGGTGGGCATGGCCCTGGGGGATAGCAGGTGAAGGGTGAACTTCGAGAACCCTGAAGGAGTAGGGGAGACTCTGTGGGAAGACAGGGCCCTGGTTGCTCCAGAAGGGGTGTGGGCTCAGCAGGGAGGGACCCCTGGCCTTTTGTGGGTCAAGCGTCTAGCCTTCTCCAGTTTTCTTCTTCCCCTCTAGAGAGGACCCCCCAGGTTTTGAGGCCAAAGATGACTATCCTCTGAGCAAGGAGGAGCTGCTGAGCCACGCGTTGAAGTCGGTGAGAGTGGGAGCCCACCAGGGTCGGGGACAACGACCTCAGTCACCCTTCGGAACCCTAACTTGCCTCTCCTTGCAGGTGGAGCTCTTGGAGCAGGCCCAGGAGCTGAGCGAGGCTGGGAAGAGGAGCAGCATTCCCACTGTGGGCTACTCCAGCAACTGGCAGCCCAGCTCCAGCACCGCCCTGGTGACCACCAGGGACCCCAGTGCTACCCGCGGGTCCATCTTGATCAACAGGACTAACAGAGACCGTGGTACCGGCTCCATTAGCCATGTCACTTTTGGCGTCTCCAGCTCTGGCGTGGGCCAGTTGTCTAGCCGTGCTACCCTTGGTGACCCCAGCTCCAGTGCAGGCCGTGCGACCATCGGCTCCACAAGTGCCAGTGGGGCACCAGCGTCCAGCCATGCTTCGAGTGGGGGCCGCGTGACCTTCAGACCCATCAGTTCTAGCAGCTACCTGGGATCCACTGGATACCCGGCGTCCAGTAAAGACCAAGAAAGCTTTAGAAGCAGTGTGGAGAGCAGAGGCACAGGGTCAGAATTGAGTGGAGGCCTCGGGTCCAGCAGAGGCCGTGTCTCTAGCGCCAGCCCTGGCTCCTCCACCAGCAAAGACTCCCGGTGCTACTAGTAGGGCACCCGGCCCCACCCTGCCCCTGGCTCCCTGCAGGGTCTTTTTTGTGTCTCTGTCTCCCTGTTTGCCTTGTGACTCTCCTTCTTTTTGTCTCTTAGTTTCAGGCCTCTGTGTCTTTACCCCCCATCTGTTTCGGTTTGTCCTTCATCATCTCCTCCTCTCTGCCTCTTTGTCTCTGTTTTTGACCCTCCTTCCCCTTCTGTCTCCCAATCTCCTGTTCTCCTGGTTTCCCATTCAGTGCCTCTGTCTCGTCCCCAGGTCCGCCTCCCTGTCTCTGTCTCCTTAGCCCTGACCCTCTGCTCACCCCCCACCCCCTGTTTCCAGCTTCCTCTTCTCACCCCTGTCTCCCAGGCTCTCCTTGCATCTCGTGTCCCTATCTCCATGGCCCCTACTTCCTCACCCTTCCCAAGAGCCCCCCGGTACTGACTAGTGGGGAGAAAATCAGGGCAAAGATTTCAGGTTGAGCATGAGCCGTGACCATGGGAAGCACAGGTGAGAGCCTGACTTCTACCCCAGTGTAGTTACAGTGTGTGGGTGAGAGAGCAAGCCGGAGACGTGGCTGCTTCCTGTACCTCCGCCCCGGGGAGAATTTATGACCCTGTTCCTGTTCCTTGCTGTTCATTCATTCCTTCACTGTTTGAGACCTGCACATTTCAGGCTCTGCTGGGAGCTGGGAAATGCATCAGTCAGGAGAGGCTGGGCTGTGCTGCAGTCACACGCTCAGAATCTCTGTGGCCCGGATGCTGCAAACGTGTCTCTCCCTTGTGGGTCCGCTAAGAGCTCTGCTCCACATTATCCTTGTGCCCCAGGCTGATGCGACAGCCTTCATCTGGAGTGTTGCCAGTTCCCTCGGCACTGAGAGAGAAAAACAGCAAAGCATGCAATGGCTCTTAAAGCTTTTACCTGGATGTGACATGTTACCTCCGCTCACATTCATTTGCCAGGTGACCATGCTGAACTACAAAGGGGAGTGGGGAAGTGCAGTCTTGGAAGGGGGGAAAAGAGAGATTATTTGTGGACAGCCCCAGTGCCCACTGCAGGGTCACAGAGATAAGCAGACCTGGCCCCTTGCCTGCAGTGGGGGAGGGCTTGGGAGTGACAGGCAGTGGGACAGCATGGGTAACTCTTTCCTGTAGTTGAGTCATGCCAGATGCCCTGTTAAAATATAATCCAGCCAAATCCAAACGTCATTCATCATTCACCTTCCTAATCCAGGAGGGTAGTACTATGAACCTCGTTCCTCTTAAAATGGGTTGATAATGTTACATATTTAAGAACAAAATGAATTGCTACATGGAAAGTCTTGTAATGGTACCTGGCATGTAGTAAATCTTCAAAAATATCTGTAAATACAAGTAGGATGACGAAAATGAAAATGAGTGTTGTGTTTTCTCACCTGTTCAGATAATCCAGCCTTACTCTCCTCTCCTCTGGCCCCACAGTCTGGCAGGGTCCACCCAGTGATCTGCTGGTCAATGTTTAACAGCTGGCTCTTCAGGAAAGCGAATCCTGACTGTAGCGTGTGCCAACTGCTGCAGTGTAAATACTCTCTCACTGTGGCTGCTTCCAGCCCTGCAGTGCGAACTGAGTGTGGAGCTGGGAAGGGAGGGGTAAGGCCAGCCCGGTGAGCTGGGATGCACCGCCCTGGCCTGCTGCCTGCCTGCCCTCGACCTACGCCCTGTCCCCCATCACGCCCATAGAAATCTGCCCCAGCCGACTGCAACACAACTACCTTGAGCTTTTAAAAGCATTTAAAACCTTTTAAAATGGAAGTTGCCTTACATTTTTAACAGTAAGAAGACTCAGTTTACAATGTGCAAAGCTAATGCCTCAACGCTGCTAAACATTTAGCCAGAGAAGGCACAGAAGCAGCAGCCTGCCTGGGGCAAGTGTGAAATCTTGACTTGAAAGGAAGATGCTGTGAATGGCAGATGGATAGTTTTGAGATAAACCAGGATGTGCTCTTGTTGGCATCACAGACCCCAGACAGACTGGACATATCTTACCATTGGGGCCCCAACCAGAAGTGCACATGCAAATTGTGACCACAGCCTTCCAGAACTTTCTCTCAAGTAGAATGTCATGACCTGTGACCTGTAGGAGGCCAACCAGTACTTGACCTCACTGGCTTTATCCTTTAAAAAAATAAATCTAAAGATGGAGATTAAAATATATGGAAGCAAGAAAACCTTGTTTTTGCCACTTTGCTAGATCACAGAGGTTTTGAGGAACTTTTGGCTGCAAAGGGTTGCCTTGGAGCTGGGCACAGAGCTGGAAAAGGTGTGATTTCTTTTTCTTTTTTGAGACAGAGTCTCACTCTGTTGCCCCAGGTAGAATGCAGTGGTGTCATCATACCTCACAGCAACCTTAAACTCCTGGGCTCAAGTGATCCTCCTGCCTCAGCCTCCTGAGTAGCTGGGACTACAGGCATGCGCCACCATGCCCAGTTAATTGATTTCACATTTTTTATGGAGGTTCTAAATGTCCTCAACATGGGTGGAGAGTTTGGGAGTAATGCAGGGATGCAGCAGTGTTTGGCTTTGGCTTCAATATTTGTTCGAAATATGTTAATCCCTGTTGGCTTTGCCTCTTGAAGTGTGCATTATTATAGCAAAGGTGGATGCCAGTGTGATACCCCTGAACTTGTGGGTGAATCATAATGTTGCAATAATGTAGGTTACTGTTACATATACATAGTTTAACAAGGTCAATTATATGAGCAAAATATTTCAGTTGGTTTCCTCATCTGCAAAAACAAGAGGAAAAATATATTTTAGTTGGATTCAGTGTTATTGCATGTACACTTTCAAATATAGGTAACTTGGAGTGAAAAATCATGTGTTCTTTACATGGTGACATTCTCTGTCAATGGAAATGTAAGTGTATATTTTCTTTGCAAGAATAAGATGCAATAATTTTTATTGTAAAAGTGATTAATTTGAGGTACAAAACATTTATGAAGAAATTTCTACTAGTTGGCATGATCATTTGAACATTAAGGGAGTATGTTTGCTAGGTAATTTTAGGAAGAATATCACTTCCTTTTTGAAGCAACGAGTGTTTATAAAGATTTAAATGAGAATATGAGATGGAATAACAGAAACTAGGCTATATCCTAATTCTAGTCTTTGTAGAGTATTTTTGAAAGAAATTTCTATTTTGGATTTGTTCACGTCTCAAGAGGAAGGACTGAAAGCAGCATATCAAACTTACCCCCTCAAAATTTCACAAGAAGTATTAATTAAAAAACTCTGAATTGACCACATCTTTGATTAATTAGCTTTAATTAAGACATAATAAAGACTATAACTAGCAGGATGATAAGAAGAAGGTATTAAAGAAAAATAAGGGACCCCAAACACATTTTGTTCTCACTTCAGCATACAGACTTTGTAAGATGCGTTAAGCAGACACAACAATCTTCAAAATCTGGTTTAACGTGGAGGGAACTCTTTTCTGTGTGTGCTTGGGCAGCCAGCAGGTGTCTCCACCTCCCACTCTCAGCCATTCCGGAAGTTCAGCCACCTGTGGCCCAGGTGCCATTTGTTAATTTAATTCAAACAGCTTCCAAGGAGGAAAGGGCTACTCATCTGATCTGATGAGGAATCTTACCTGCATTCATACGGTTTCAATGCAGGGATGTCAGTAGGGCAGCAAATGATCAGGGCAAAACTTTTTAATGGAGGGAATAATCACTGGACATGACCAAAATTTGTACAGTTTTGGACATTCTAGAAAACCCTTTTGTTGAAGTGTCACTTCTAAGTAGTATTTATTAATAGGGAACAGGATAAGTTGGGACAAGTTATTAATTTTCACACAGTCTCTCTAGTGCACAAGGACAAGAAGATTAATATTTTTGCAAAAGTTCTCCCCTGAACACCTTATCAGTTCAGATTGTTTGAACTAGCTCTGTGGTTTAGAACCCTACCTCTCACAGCTGTGAGGAGAGGGGAATCTCCATCCCTTTTCTCATTAATTTGACAAATATTTATTGAGCATTTACTATGTGCCATATATTATAACAAGTTCTGGGGATAGAAGGGTGAACAAGAAATTAAAAAATGGTATCTCAGGAAGGAGATGGGAAGGCAGCTCCCCTGGGATGTGGCTTCTGGAAGTGGAGCCACTTTTCTTCCTCCTTTGGGGCCCAGGAAGTCTCATCTTGGTATGGAGCAGAGTCGTGACCACCAGCCCTGTGGACTGTCCCAGAGTGACTTTCTCCTCGTTCTCTCCCTCTCAAAAGTAAGCACAGCAGACCCAGGCCCTCAGATTTGCTCCCCACCAAAAATGGCCTCCTAATCCTCTACAGCAGGTGGGATTCAGGCTCACCCCAGCTCTCGGCCACTGCAAGGGTCCTAGATCTGCACTGAGAGATCTGCCTCTGCCTTCCCCGGGTCCAGGGGCTGGGATTGCCCTTTATAGATGGTCTGAGTGCCAAGCTCGGAATATGTCTGAAGCCACTTATAGAGAAGCCAGAGAATCAAACCCAGATTCCTCTTTGTTCCCAAGCTCGGCAGCACATTCTTCAATGTCATTGTCATTTCCCTTTTGGCCCAGAGTGGGAGAGGGATGGAGAATGGAGAATGCAGGTCTGCTGGACCATGGCTGTGGCTGGAACACAAAAAAGGTGGCTCTGGATACCTGCTTTGAGGTGGTGGTGAGGGTGGTGGTGGTGTTGTTGGTGATGGTGACATTGGTGACCCTGTTGATGCTGGTGATGACAGGTGTTGGTGGTAGCAGTAGTGATGGGAGGTAGTGACGGGGTGGTAGTGTTGAAGGGAGTCACTCTGGTGACAACGTTGGTGGTGATGCTGTTGGTGACAGTGGTTGTCACCTCAACACTCTTTATCTCCATCTCAGATTCATTTTGTTACGTACAGAGACTTGCATTAGTAAGCCTAAGCTTAATTAATTATTAAGCTAATTAAACTAATTGATACCATCAATTTATGCTATACAGTATAAGAGAACAGCAAGCAAGTGAAGTTCAATCTTATTGGCAAAATGGAGGAAGGACTGAATTAAATTGTACTCAATAACAGTGAAATTGGGAACCTTTAGTAATTTTTCTCCTTCAGGAGTGAGGCAGAAACTGGCACTGCCACGTTGGAACTGTGTGGCCTTGGGCAAGTGTCTTCAGCTCTCTGAGCCCATTTCCTTATCTGGAAACCAGAGCTGGCAGCGAACCCTAGAGGCAGCAGTATGTGGTGGAGAAACCTCACCGGGGGTGGGGTGGGGTGGGCGCTTACTAACCTTGTTCGATCGTAGTGTGTGTCAGCTGAAAAAAATGGGGATAATTTAGACAGCGGAAAACACTATCGTAGATTCCCAGCGGAGACTAGTCGTTCTAAGGTGATCTGCGCACTACCCGAAGGATGGACATATTTGAAACACGGACTTCGGTGGGGGGGGAACCAAGGGCAACACACGTAACCTAAACGTATGTACACCCATAATTTGCTGAAATAAAAAAAAAAAATAAATAAAAATAGGAATAGAGTGTAACAGAAAGCATCATCTGGTACGGGGGGTATTTTAAAAATAAGTTTTATTTTGTTTTTAATTGACACATAGTAGTTGTACGTATTTATGGGGGCCAGTGTGATGTTTGGATACATATATAGATTGTGTGATGATCCAATCAGGGTAATTAGCTTATCCGTCACCTCCAACGCTAGTCATTTCTTTGTGGTGAAAACATTCAAAATCTTCTAGCTACTTTGAAGTTTACATTATTGTTGACTACAGAGGGTGGTATTCTTTTAGGAAACTGTGTTGATGCGCAATGATTTCTTATTGTGCATCATGGGCAGAAAAGTTTGGGAGGCGCTGGTAGGCCGTTCGCAGCTACGCACATTGATTTTTAGACAACTGCGCGTTCGCACATCGGCTACCACCTGCCTTTCAGCCGCCCGTTCCATCCCCGCAGAAAACAAACGTTTCTCGGCTCCGGGCGGCGCTGTCTTAGCGAGGCTCTGCCGCCAGGCGGCGCCCATGCCCCGCCGGGAGTGGGTTTTGCGCCATCCGCGACCATTCATCCCTTCTTCCCACGTCTTCATTAAATGTCGCCGTGCGCCCGACGAGGTTCCCCGCCCCCGGAGCTCACATCCCAGTGGGAAGGACAGACGAGAACCTAAATTCACGATCCAGTCAGTACGGCGAGGCTCCGCCCTGGAGCTTAAGAGCCGAATCTCTGGTGCCCGATAGCAGGGGTAGAATCCCGCCTGCCACCTGCCGGCTGTGTGACGTTGGGCAGCTTGCTTAGCCTCGCTGTGCCTCAGTTTCTTCTGCTATAAAATGGGAGTGATGGCCGGGCGTGGTGGCTCACACCTGTAATCCTAGCAGTCTGGGAGGCCAAGGCGGGAGGATTGCTTGAGGCCAGGAGTTCAAGACCAGCCTGAGCAAGAGCAAGACATCGTCTCTACCAAAAATAGAAAAATTAACTGGGTGTGGTGTAGCGTGCCTGTAGTCCCAGCTACTCAGGAGGTTGAGGCAGGAGGATAGCTTGAGCCAAAGAGTTTGAGGAGCTATGATGATGCCACTGCATTCTACGCAGGGTGACAGAGGGAGACTCATAAATAAATAAATAAATAAATAAAATCTCAACTTGAATGCTGTCTCCCATGAGAACATTTCCAGACCTTCATAGCTACAGGTTTCTCTTTCCTCTTGATTTTTTAAGATGCTAAACTTTTGCTCTCTGTGTTAGCACCGGCCTGAGGTAAAAGGTGACTCTGATTTTGGCATTGAATAATTGTTTTCACTCTTGGTCCCTTTGGGCTACCAAACAGGAATAAATACATCTATCCAACTAATCAATGGGCACACATGGACAGAGAGAGACATAAAGGAGATTGGAAATCAAGAAGGGGGAGGGGGAGGGGCAAGGGAGGGGGTAAAAACCTACCTATCAGGTACAACGAACACTGTTTGGGTGATGGGCACACTAATAGCCCTAACTTAAGCATTATAAAAGGTATCCATGTAACAAAAACATTTGTGCCCCCTTAATGTTTTGAAATAAAAAAATACACCCATTCAAAAACATTAAAATTGGACAATTCACTACTAATTAAAGACCTTAAAACTGACTGAGATACGTTTTTCTCATTCAAAATTGGAAAACAAATTTTGATAGTTTAGAGATGGTATAACACGTTGGGCAATCTCATTCTTTACTCTTGAGAAATTATACTGGGAAAGCCTTTGGTAATTCGTGTAGAAATACACCAGCTTTAAAGGGGAAAAGGTTCCTTTAATCTGTAATTTCACTTTGAGTAGTATAGTAGCTCCACCAGGCCATGTGTAAAATTGTGTTCATGGAAATATTTCCTGGCAGGGCACCTAGAATGAGAAATAAGAAGGCATTAGATTCTGGATAATAATGGGGTGTCTGAGAAACCTTAGAATTGTAGCTACATGGTATATTCTGCCCCATTATACTAATATGTAGAAAGGATTTTTAACTGTACAGAAAATATACAACAATCTCAAGTGGCAGGTTCATAAAATTAAGTACATAATATAAAATGAGTTATTTGTTTAATTCCTTTAATAAGTACATTTTAAGTGCCTTCTTTAGAGTGAGATGTAGAG